CGGGGTTTCGAAGCGTTTTTTTTTTTTTTCATTTTCATTTTTTTTTTAATTTTTTTTTTACGCAATAAAAAACAACAATGCCCCAAAAACAAATATGGGCGTGTAGGGTTTTTTTAGCCCTACACGGCCTTTTTTTTTTTTTTTTTTTGCACTCAAATATGAAAAAAAAATGTTGCACCAAACTTGGTTGGTCGGTCATGGCCGAACCCGACCGATTCAGCCGTCGGCCATGACCGCGGCCGATTTTTTATCCCCGGTCATGACCAGGCGTGCAACACTGCCGGACAGCTTTATGAGCTAGATGTGCCCCAGTACGTGCCTGATGAAACTCATCGACTAATCGCTGATATCCTAATCGAATATCAAGGGGCGATTAGTGTCGAAGATACACATATCGGGTTGTCATTACTGATTTAGCACGAAATCCAAACTGGGACGCACCCACCAATCCACTGCAAGTCATACCGATATTCCCTCGTTGAACGAAAAACAACATTGGAACGAATTAGGGAGTTCGAAGCTAACGGTTGGATTGAACCAACTACTGGGTCATGGTCATTCCCCGTAGTCTTAGTTCCGACGAAAAACGAGTCGATTCGCATATGCATTGATTACAGGAAGTTGAATGATATCACGATCAAAATGTGTACCCCCTCAACCGGATTGATGACTTGCTGGATGCAATTGGGTGTGCCAATTATTTTAGTAAGTTTGATACCCGTCATGGGTTCCATCATATCCTAGTCAAGGAGGAGGATCGGTCGAAGACGGCGTTCGTATCGGTCAAAGACGGCGTTCCATGATTGCCGTATTGGGATATGCAATGCACCGGCGACCTTTCAGAGGGCGATGAACATCACCTTTCAGAACTTCGTCAATAAGACTCGACTGACCCACCGGCATGATCAATTTTTCCGTCATTGTGTACATGGACGATATTTTGGTGTATTATGAATCATTCCACGGGCACGCTCAGCACATCAAGTGGACGCTGGGGGTGTTGCGAGATGCTGGGTTCAAAATCGCCCTAGAGAAGAGTGAGTTCTTCCTCTCAGAGATCTCGTTCCTGGGTTACGTGGTGACTCGAGGGGGCTTGAGGCCAGATTCGATAAAAGATGAAGTTGTTCGAGAAGCCCCCACACCTGCGTCGCTGATGCAGGTTCGAGCCTTTCTCAGATTGGCCTCGTACTACCGTAGGTTTATTAACGGGTTCGCGACAATTGCTCGGCCTCTAACGAACCTCCTACGAAAGGACCAGCCACTGAATTGGGACACGGACTGCGAACAAGCCTTTGTTACCTTGAAGGAGGCCTTGGCTTCCGCGCCTATTTTGATTCGGCCTGATCCGGGAGAACAATTCATTCTCATTACAGACTGGCAACCTGAGGCGATCTCCGCTATTTTGGCCCAGAAGGGGAAGGACGACCGCGGACACGTCATCTAGTACGCTTCACGAACTGTACCAAACGAGAGAAGAAACGATTCGGCCCCACAAGGCGAGTGCTACGTGGTCGTCTGGGGAATTCAGCACTTTCATCCTTATTTATACAGACAGAAGTTTCTCCTCATCACGGATCATGAGCCCCTTCTAGCTCTCAAAAGGCTCACCAACTACACAGGCATGATTGGACGCTGGGTTGTCCGGCTACAGGAGTACGACTTCAACATCATTCATCGAAAGATGGAAAAGTACGGGAACGCGGACGGGTTGACACGATGACATCGGTCAAGCAAGGTGGCAAAAGGTGAAGAGATGACTCCGTGGAAAGAGTCGGAGCCAGCCAAGGGACCCCCATACGGAGAAGTGGTCATTCTCCCCCTACCTTCCAGGAAGTGACACATGAACATGATGGCGATGGGTGGAGAAGGTAATACCAGGGGCCCCCTTTCCCCCCTCTCATCCTCTTCCTTTCTCTCCTTGCCCAACAAGTTTTGTTACTTTTGTGAAGCAATATCGCCCGTATATTTGGTTCTTATGCGTCCTAGTGGGGAAGGGTATGTGGAATGGATAGATTGTCAACAGTGTGTCTCCTGAGCTCACGGCTCCTGTATCCAATATCAGAGCTCAGATAAACCCTGGTAACGTCCCTTGTATCACACCGACAAAATCCCGACGGAGGCTCGATTCCTCGAAGCCACGTCCGAACGATTAGAAAAGACACGCCGATTTCAGCGCGCCGAAGTATGGACGGATGTCGTCTTGATAGCTACGGTGGTCGGGAACTCCCTCCGAGAATTCACCAAGGAAGATCGGAGGCGGGCTAACGAGAAAGCACGGGATTACCGATGGAACGACGGACGGTTAGAAAAACGAAAGGCTAATGGTAGTGGGATCTGGATGTCAGTGCCTCATCCGTTCATGAGGTACGACTGGGTTAGGAAATCACCGTTCACTTTGCTGCCAGGATCACGGAGGCCTCGATTGACAAAAATGAGTGGTACTGGTCCAATATCCGGGACGATGTTAAATTCATTACCAAAACCTGTCCAGTCTGTTCGGCGGATAAGGCGCCAATTCAGCCGCCTAGGTTGATAGTGCTCACCGTAGTCAAACAGTCATTCCAAAGGGTTAGCATGGACACCAGGGATATTATTGTGCCCCCTGGACCAAATAGCTGCGAGTATTTAATTCTTTTGGTATTCGTGGATCATTTCTCGAAATGGATCGAGGCCTACCTGTGTAAAACGCGACAGATGGCCGAAATCATGCGGTATATCAGCTGTTTCCTCATAATGCATCAGGATATCGAGGAAAATTTAACGGACAACCGAGCAGAATTCCAAGGAGAAGTTTTGAGGAGCCTAGTCCTACATGGCGTCTCCATCCGTAATACTGCTCCCCATATATCGCAATCGAATGGACTGGTGGAAAACGCAAATAGAAAAATCAAGACGGCCTTGCGGCGAAATATCGCGGCCTGAGACACGAGGCCTTGGCCCGATATTGTAGACCACATCCTGGCTATCCACCGGGGGACCCCTCGTGAGTCCACAGGCCTGACCCCTTTTCAGCTAGGGACTAATAGTCTGGCATGTGTGGCTCTACCGAGCTTGAACGATGAAACGACCCTAGCGCGAAGAACCACGAGGGTCACGGTTAAGGACAACTTGAAGGCCCAACGCCACTTAGAGTTGATGGAAAAAACCCTCACTCAGTTAGCCCGAAAAAGACAGCGACTAACCGAAATGGCTCATGGACGACAGGTCCGGAGCTATGAGGCCCCTCGGCCCCAGTATAAATTAGAGGACATAGTCCAGGTAAGGAAATGTGCTCGCCAGGGCAAGTTAGCATCACAATTCTTTGGGCGATTTCACGTAGTCAAGCTTGGTCCTAGCGGAGTGAACACAGTACGGCTTGCGCCGGATGTCTCGGGAAGCCAATCGGCTCAATCGATCATTCGACACGTCTCCTACCTTCGCCCCTTTACCTCCTTCTCTTTCTCCTTCATTGACCACATCGTCCTTCTATTCTGAAGAAGAAGGTGACGACCTTGAACTCGACTACTCTGACTCTCCCTCCTCTCAACCTTCATCTCTACCTTCTCCCCCATCACCATGAGCTTTTCCACCGAGCAGGTCATCAGCGAGCATCTGATGAGACCCCGGGGCATATTTCGTCGATCCGGCACATACAGCAGCCACAATTGAGTCCAGATCTGCTCCAATTTGCGGCTTTCTTCAATACGACGGCCATCCAGTTGCATCCACGCGGCGGCGGAATTTCGGATCACACGAACTAGCGAGCGGGCAAAAGTGTTGGCCGAGGCGTTGACTTTCCTGCTGTTGTCTCCACAGGGCGTCAACCACGTAACAGTGATCGTCGCCTTCACCGACGATCTTACAGCGTTGCATCTGGCAGCTCATACATGCATCTTCCAGCAGTTGCGACTCAGGGAGCGGGATCTCACGGCCGCCTGGGTCCAGCTGTTAGCGCTACCTGGCGATCAGATCAATTCCACGAACGACATCGATCTCAGCCAACTCCGGATCTCTCCTGACGCGCCGGAGATCGTCCTCCCGCAGCTTCTTCCTTTCACGCCGCCTCAATGAAACGGCACCGCCTTTCGACCTTCGAGCTTCCTTCTGATCTCCCTGCCTTCTCGCAGTCCGCCACGAACCCTCCCCTCTCCTTTCGAATTAGGCGGCTGGACGTGCCAATCTTGGACGCGAGCAAGTGGGCGGAGTGGTGGCACGCCGCGCTCAACTTTTGCCTTTTCGAGCTGGTTTTTCATTGGGCTGAGCCGGCAGATAAAGACGAGGATGACGAAGTTCCCAATGATAAAGGGGAGTTGCTGATCGTCCAAGCCTGGAGGATGGACACAGAGGGAGAACTGTTGGGGATACTCTTCGGGAAGGTGAGGGACGAACATCTCGAGCCAATTACGAGCGAAGTTTCGGTGCTCCTGGCACAACTCATAGACGATCTGCCTCTGCAGATCCTTTCACGCCGTGACGAGCGATCCGCACCAGCGGCGCTCCCTCGTACGTTAGCACCACGGTTAATGGCACGGTGGTCCACGTGCACGGAACTCGATGGCGATAACATCTACCTCCCTTCATCGGGTGACTATTTGGTCATCGATGTGACCGATATCACTCTATGGGATCCGATCATCCGAAGAGTGGAGGTGGGGGCAGGAGAAGAGGAAGAGAGGGAAAACACGAACGAAGAAGAAGACTCGGATGCCAGATCGGACGACCCAGATTATCGTGAATCTGAGGAGACCGGGTCGGAAGGGAGTGGGTCGGACGAATCAGGCAGTTCCGGCGGACGGAGTGAGGAGGAAGATGAAGCAGCGGCTCAGAGGCGGCGGGAGAAGGCAGAAGGGAAGCACCCTGTGCAGGATTCGGACGAGTCGGACGAGCGGCTGTTGCAAGACGATCCAGCGTGCAACCCGGAGCCACCGCAAGAGGAGTCCGGAGGAGATCATGGAGTCGCCACCGCGGTGGGATCTAGAAGCAGACGCCGCAGGAGAAGTCCAATACCGGCTCAATCCCCTCAACCACAGAGGCCCACCGTTCGCCTACGTGGAGATACGGGCACTCGGGCTTAGTCCCCGGTCGTTATCCCGCCGTCCCCTTGATTTCCTCGCCATCCATCAGATTGTTGGCCGACCCCCGTTTCCCTCCAACTGGCATCCTTTCCCTCCTTCCCTCTTCCACCAGCTCTATTCTACCCGTCTCGGTCTCACCGTCTTCCCGCACGCCTCCACTCGCTCTATCGTAACCACTTTCCCCCTCCGCGTCCTCCTCTTCGGCGCGACATGGCGAGATTAGAATAATATAGAAATATATTGTATAATCCCGGGCATAATCCCTGCGTGCGAAGGTTACGAGGATCTTCGTGCCACAATCCCCCGCACCCTGTGCACCCTCTATCCAGATTACCTCGCTTCACTCCCACATCAAGATCGTCGCTTCCCCCGCATTCATCGCACCGTCCACTATACTCGACTCCCCACTGGAGATTGAGATCGGAGTCGCTTTCTACCACCTCTCCCCTAAGCTCACCCTCCTCTCCCTCCACCAGTCATACGACTATCCTTCCCTGGCAACCTCTAGGTCCGGAGCGCTCGAATGCCACTGACGATGACTTTCACTCTCTCATCGTACGGTAAGTGACACGTGTCGGCTCCACGACGATCGTCAGCATGCCGGAGAGCAAGATGGAGTTTCCTCAAGATTGGAACCCCCTGGGCGTCACAAATGTGACGAACTGTTTTCTGCAACCGCGCGGATTTCTGAGCAAGGCTATTTTGGGGGATGAAATTGGTTGAGTCGGGATGGTCTGGTGAATTGCATGGATGCCCCTGCTTTTCTTGTCTCTTTCGAATAAAGACTGGTCTGGTCCTACAACGGTTGATAGTTGATCGCGCCTCAGCAAGCGAGGCGAATAACCGTTGTCATAGCTTCTTTCTTGTTCTGCTGTCGGAAATGAGAATTTTTTGTGTGATTGCCACGCCGGGAAATCTTTTTGAATTTTCGACTGATGTCTAGCCCCCGCGGGCTCCCGGAATTCGTTTCGATTTCTTTTTGCAATTAGGATTTAGACTAGGAATTTTGGTGCACCTCAATTTGTGTTGTGCGATGCTTCCTGCTTGCTCACACTCTACCGCGTCAGGAACTGTGTTCTAACTTTTTCGCGCCTTAATCTCGCGTGTAATTGTAATCTTTGTTTTGGCGGGCGTGATTGCAATTGTAATCCTCTCGCTCTTGATATCTTTTGTGGCGCCCTTGTGCGCGCATACCTCTCCCCCGTCTTATTGGTCTGAACACTTGCATGACCGGATCGATGTGTGGAGAGTGGCTACGTCCCCCATGCCACAGACTGGCCATGCAGGCGTAGGCACTCCCTTCCTCCTTCTTCCTCCTACCTAAACACAATCCCGAGTATCTCGCGCAGGCATGCATGCTATAAATTTTGCAAGCGCAATTAATTAGCTCTCTAAACATTTTTTGGAAGTTAGCGAGGTCGAGAGGATCGGCTAACGAGCGAAAGTTGGCAGGTGAGTGGAGAGTTGGGCGATCCGACGAGTTGATGTTGAGCGTGCGGGGTTGACGTGGGGTCGCGGCGGACTGTGGCACACAGGCGAACCTGGCTGGCATGCTTGGATCAAGCGGGGTGACAACTCCGTCTGGGTGCGAGGTGACAGACTGCCTGCATCGGGGTGATGAGAAGAGAGAGAGAGAGAGACAGGAAGTGTGCGATGAGTTTCTTCTTCTATCCCTCTAAGCCATTTTGGTTCTTCCTCTTTCCTTCTGAGCAATTTTGGTATTCGGCGCGAGTCGCCCCTCTTTTTAGTTGATGTGTATGTTTTCATTTTCTCTCCTCAAGTGTTGATGAATGGTTGTCTTCCTCACCTCCTCTTCTCTGTCTTTTGATGGGTCTAATTGATTGATCCCCAACGATTGGCCCTTAGAAGTGTTGCATGAACCTCGATTCAAAACTAGATGCATGGATGACAGGCGTAATCCTGCTTGTGCATAAATTGGATAGGCATAATAGACTATCGAAAGGTTGCCTCATTATAGGATGATCTGGATTGCGAGCCACTAGCTTCCGGCCCTCTGATCGAAGGATAGGGATCGCGTATATCCGTGTAAGTTCGGTCAGAGACGATTGCTACCTACACGCGCGTCCGCGAACCTTGAACTCGACTAATTCTCGAATGGCCGACGTTCCACCCCAACCTGCAACATGAATGTCGACACCCCTGTTTACATCACTGACCATGAGTGTTTGCAGGATCCGAAATTCAGGGGATATTGTGAGCGCTCTCGCTTGTCTGCATGGCCCAGGGCGGAGTCCTTGAACTTCCCTCACTTAACGGGGAATGAACGAATCTGCGAGTGGGACCTTGATCAGGCCTTGGGACGTATTCCCTATCTCGCCCACTACTCTAACCCCCACACGTGTCACGTCGTCACGAAACCCGGGATCATTATCATAGGAACCGAGTTCCCTCCCTATCACCGCATCCTACCCTATCACTCCCTGAGCATCGTGCCCTGGCTCGCCATCGCCCCCTACTGGCCCCAACCCCCGTGCTCGGAGTGCCTGCAGGACCAAGAGTACCGAGCTTCCGGCTTCATCCGGCGAACCCGCTCGGAGGAGGAACGCCGGGCACACAGCCTTCGGCTGAGACCGGCCGCGTCCGACTCCGAGACCTGCGACGTTAGACGTCGACAAGTGGTCAATCAGCGCGACAGCCATAGCGTCCCGACGGTTCATCAGATACGCGTCCGACCCAGACGACGGAACCACTGGAGGTGATAGCCCCACGTTCCCAGGCCTACACCAGGACTCTGATCCGCACCTATCCTCCTCCTGCATTCGCATCCCTGAAACCTGTCACAGGAGATCTCAGTTCCGACCTGAGACTCCACCCCCACTTTCCAAAAATCCTTGGCACACCCCTTTTTCGCACTTTGAGGCCCACCCACACTCCGGCCAGGAAGTCGTGCTGGGCGTGAGGTTGGGCGTCACACAGCAGTGATAGGCACCAGGGCTGATAGGTTGCCCATCCCTGTTGGAAGCGGAATTGGACGAGCCTTGTCGAACGGGAACTTCGGATGTCGGGCCCAGACAATTTACTACAGGTCCCAAGAGACTCTGGGCCCTAGGTTTCAGACAGGGTAGCACCCATTGAAGCAGTCTTACCATCCTTCCCCTAGCTTACCCCAGGCCAGGCGGAACTCGGACTGACCTGAGCGACTTATACCCCTACCCTTACCCCAGGGTCTAAGCCTTATATAGCCACTAGACAGTTCTACCCGAATATCAGTAGGAACTTCGGTGGCCCATACCTGTCCCTACCGCAGATACTAGACCCCACCTAGTGACTAGACCCCGAAGATGTGCCGACAGCACTATGTGTGGAAACTCATGCTCTTCGTGACAGATGGTAATCTGCAGCTCGTTCTCCTCAGGATGTCGGAAAGTGCTGAGGTGGGGAGAGAATCAAGTTCAGGGGGAGGAGGTGGTGTGGAAGCATAGGGGAAATGTGGTGGAGGCAGGTCAGTTGGTGGGGACCAGGTCTTCACTGAACGGGTGTGTCTGTGGGGAGGGG